AGTTTAGTTAAAAAGAAGCTGGAGTTTTTTAAATAGGTTATAAGTAAGTAGAACAGAAACAGTGTTCCTTAAGAAAATGGACTGGTACGTTTCCTGAGCACTTTATGAAATACTGGATTTAATAACAAAGATCTAATTATCTTTTTTAAAAGCTAACGATATTAGGAAGGTGGTGTGCTATGGTCTTACCGACTATCCCAAGTGTGAGATAACTGTTCAGTTTCTAATCTTAGTAGATTGATCTCTAAAATAATTAGAAATTTGAAAATGACTGCAATTCCATGTATACCTTATTAACTGTAGTGGAAAACCTCTGCATATATATATGTGTGCCTAAACTTTTTTATTTTTAATACCTCGATATTCACTGCAGCAGAACTGACTTAGTTCTAGAATCTGTGATGAAAATGTGCAAGTGTTTTCATTGTTTCTCAAATAACAGTGAATTTTAGAAATTTTACTTAACTCTCGCTTGTTTCAACTTCGACAGTCTTGAAATCAGAATACTTGCTCTAGTTTTGTTAGCTCTCACTGTATCGGTTTAACTGTAGCATTTAGTTTCAGGGCCTAAGAGACAGAACTCTAGTTTTGGTGGTTACTCTGCTGAAACAGAAAACAGAAAAGTAAATTATATTTTATTTTACTGATATTTTTGAGGTAATCTGATCAGGTTAAATACACCAAGAGAAACGGGAGTGCTGCTTTTATTTGATGAGAGCATCAGTTAGGATCATCATGTAAATAAAGAGGAAAAAGTTTAGAGAAGTGTGTGTGTTGGAGGGTTGGGGTGTTTGGTGGTAAAGGTGATTGATGGAGAAAGGAAAGTGAGCAATGATTTAAAAGTAACAAGTGGTAAGTAGTAGTGAATCTAGATGAGCAGAAGAAAGCTGTGTTCAGCATCTCAGTGACCTAGGAGCTTGGGTTTGAACGCGTTCCATATGTATGGAATGTTTTATTACCTGAGAACGTACATAACTTCTGTTTAATTAAAAAGGTTGGATTGATTTTTATTTTTTTCTTTTTAAAATGGGTAATGTGGGAAGAAGGTTGTTTGGAGAGATAAGACATGACTGACAGCTGTCAGCTGAAGAAATGTTTGAATAATTGTATATTAGCAGCCGTATTCAATAAATACAGTGGATGTATTACTTCATGCAGAATTTAAAATAATCTTTCTCTTTTAATTAGTTTTTATAATTGCAAGCTTTTCTCCTTGCTTTGAACACTTACCGTGTTTTGGGATGAGTTAGCTATTCTGCAGCACCTAATTTAGTCTGTGTAGGTGAAGTGGTGCAATACCCGTTTTGAGTTTTTCTGTCCTTCCTCTACTGAATAATTTTTAGAGAATTGTTGTTCGTAGGAAACAAAACAGAGTTCATTTAAAAATAAATTAATAAGGACTTCCGTATGGTTGACGTCAAATTTGTATTTTGTCTTCCCATCTTTATTAATGTGCGATTTTGGTTCAACTCTGGATGTTGCATTTGCAACCAGATTCAAGTTTGTTTAATGAACCTGCAGACCAGGTACCGATTTGGAGCCTGTTGAAATTTTCACTAGGGCCTGGTCTGCTTGACTCTTCAACAATCTTCTTATTTCGCTTACTCTGTTTCAGTCACCGTTTCAGTGGTTGTTGCCTTCTTGTCTTTCATGCTTTGCAGTTTCAGAAGGGCAAGCAACCTCCTAGGTAATAAAATAGAGATGTGTCTATCTTTCTGGAGTGCTAGTCCCCTGTTGAAAATGTAGGTATTTATTTGTTCAGTTGGCATAAACTGTTCTGCTTTGGAAGGTCCCTTTGGGACACTTCTTAGATGTTATCTGCAGGATATGTGCACAGGAAGGACAGCCGTGTCTTGGGGTACAAATGTACAAATAATACTATGATCCTGGGTAGGCTCAGTACTTATCTTCCTATTACCAATATCTTTAAAAAAGGAAGTCTATCCAGCATGTGGGAGGAAAAGCTAATTCCAGCAATCAACATATGGATAGCTACACAGAAAATCCCTTAAAGTCTCATTATGAAAACCTGCCCCACACAGTCTTTTTGTCTTGTTGTTGTATTTCAGGTATCCAGTTACGCTGAATGGTATTTGATCCTATTATTATCATTGTTATTTCAACCAAGAGAAGCAAAACTTGATGGTAGGATGGGATCCTCAGGAATCACCAACTCTGACCAAACTGTGTTGGGGTCGAAGTCACGGAGAGTTTTGCTGTTGAGTTTTGAGGGAGTCAGGTTAGGTCACTGCACTGTACTTTTGAAATCCCACCTCTAACTATTTCTGAGTTGAGTGTGTGATTATTTCCTCACAGGGAGGAGTCCATCACCACAGCCTTCCAGAAACACCATACAAGTGACATGCATTGGTCAAAACACCAAATCCCAGTAGCTTTAACCATCTCCTGTCTGAGAAGCTGTATTAATAAGGCTAATAGGCTGATGCTGAGCATTTGCAAGCACAGGAGTGAAAAGAGTGCTGTGGGCTTCACTGGAAGTTTTAAGTGCTGAAGACCTCCAGGATCAGGCTCTGGATGAGCCATTCAGTACCATGTGCGGTCTCACAGGCAGTTTCATGCTTGCTTGTGGAAGTATGAACTAGCCAGCCGTGACAAAAAAAAAGAACATTGCGGGCCTTAAACTTGTGCTAGTGCTACTTCTGCTTTTAAAGTGATCATGATCTGAAAGCCCCTCTGCACTCAGCCTGTGAAAAGCACTCTGCGTGTGCCATGGCTTCTGAAATCGGTGGAACCACTTGCATCAGTGCATGCTGGATGAGCAAACCTTCTGGCATATAGTGTGCTCCAGAGTGAACCCATCTCCTACCTTCAGTTTTCTTCCCGTTTTTTTTTCCTGTGGTGGTACAGGGTTAGTGGCATGGAGTTGTCTAGAGGTGTGGGGGAAGGAATAGCATGTAAATTTACTTTCAGGTCACAGGCCCCCGTTCTACTGGAGTGACTCACTCGAAGTGATACTAGTGTCCGAGATAAACCTCTCAGACGCGTCATACAAGATGTTCATTATCGTAATTAATCTGTCACAATATAAGTATCATCCTTGGCTCAGCAGCTTATCAATGTACGTGTTGCTGCTGCATCGTCTTTCTAAATGAATGTATCTGTGCAAGCCGTTGTGGATCAGCTGGTGCCTGCGGAGCCCTCCTGGCCTCCTGCTGTAGACATCCCTTCTCCTCCTACAAGGCAGGAGGGGCTGTTACTTGCTGGTGCCGTTGCCTCTGGCAGCAAGCTGCTTTGGTTTGCAAGCTGGCTGCATTCTCATTCTCTCTCCCCTCAGCTGCCGTGCAGCTCTCATGCAGAATTCCACATGCTGTCACTGGCTTGGTGTTGTCCTGATGGTGCCTACTGCCACGGCTCCATCTCTCCATGCTTAGGACTGTCTGCAGAGCCTTCCCCGCTCTGACTGCCATCCCCAAACCAGAAGGCCATAGACAGTAGCAACTCTCCTCCGGTTGTGGCATGCTGGGGATGGCCTGTCAGAACGAGGAAGGCTGGTAAAGCATGGAGGGCACAGGGCAGGCTCTCAAATATGTGTGGCTGTGAAGAAGACACTGGCTGAAAGAGTTCTAGTGGGTTAAGAAAGTAGCTGATGCCCTGCGTAAGTGGGGGTGAGGTATCACCACATCCTTTCTGGCACAGTGGTGAAGTTCACGCATCTTGCAGAGGATTGGCGTGATGGTGTATCATGGTGTCCGGGGGTCAGGACCTCTTATACAAGGAATTCCTCTTTGGTATAAGATGGCAAGTGAAGTAACCAAGTGCGCACAGGGGGAATTCAAGAGGGGTTTCTGAGCCAACAAAGCAAAGGGGGTGTTAGAGAAAATGCTTCCTCAGGTAGCCATCACAGTTGAGCAATGAAAATTCCTGCCCCGCTCCCCCTGCAGATGAAATGCCTGGTAGAGGCATGTCGTGTTCCATCTTGTTGGCCAAGGATCTCTTATTGACAAATGTGACTTTCCATGTGTGTTGTTGAAAGATGCAGGATTATTACAGGGGTTTGCATTGTTACAGAAAGATGAACTAAGGTGCGTTTTATGGTGGCCTCTTTGCTGTCGATCCTTATTTTTACAAGTACATCTGAAAAATTTATGACTTTGCATCTGCGATAAGTCGAAAGACTTCCGGTGAGTGATTTAGTTTTTGTGTGTCTGAACTGCAACTTGTATTCTTGGAAGACCTATTTGAGAAGTTAGTGAAATAAGTTTTCAGAAATGTTCTTTTTCTTAACAGTCATAGGAGCAAAACAAGCTTTGAAAAATAAAATTACAGTTAAAATAAGCGTTGACAATGCAAAGCAGTAGTGTACGATTATGGTGTGGTTTTAAATATAACCAGTAACATTTTTAATGCATCAGAAATGGTTATCTAACTTCCCTAATTGATCTTGCAACTTATTATGATAGCTGACTAAGAAAACGAGACTAACTTTTTGTAAGAAAAGTTTGAGTTTTACAATTGCCCTTCTCGAAGTTTCCAAAAAAAAATAAAAACCAAATCTCATGCCACAAACATGTTTCTTCTCTGAAATGCATTTTGTTTGGTTTATCAACTAGATAAAGGAGAATGATTGCATGGGATGAAAATAAATTGTTTCTCACAATTTTAGGTTGTAGCATCTGTTCAGAAAAAGGGAACAGCAGAAGGAGACGCTACTTAGTTTTACTAGAAATGTAAGAAGAATGAGATTTTGAAAAAGAGGTTTAGACTGTTTTAGTAAAGATGCTTCTATTCTAAAAAGCTTGCTCTTGGGCCTTGAGATAAGCATGACTAAGCTATGTGGTGGTTTCTTAGCAGCAAAGCAGATGTGAAACAGTGTTTTAAAATCTGGCTGCATAGAGATGATCTCTGCTTGTCGGAATAATGGTGAGCCTTCCTCAGAGTCAATGAAACTACACCAGTCTAGAGCAGGACTTAGCGTGGTGGTAGAGAAATGTGTTTGCCTTGGATATCTTCTTCTCATTCCTTTTTGTTTCTTTACACAGGGAGTGAAGTATCTGTGCATTCCTGCTGCTGACTCACCCTCGCAGAACTTGTAAGTTTTCTTTAAAAATAAATCCCGAAACCCCAGAAATCCCTCAGTACCGTGATTCCTGTTTTACAATGAGCTGAAAGATCTGATTCTGATCTCTCCCAAGTATTACACAAATGTGGTTTTTAATCCATTAAGAAAACGCAGTAACGCTTTATTCCAGCCCCTGTGGTTCAGACTCTGCTTTTTGTGTGTGAGGGTTTGTAGGAGGGTCAGCATGTAAACACTCCTCTTCATTTGTGGCCTTAAATTTCGGGAATTCCTTAGTGAGTTTGCTCCTAATTTAGTCCCAGTTTATTCTAGCCATTGTTTTTGTAAACCTTTTTGCTTAGCTGTAATTTTTTTTGTTGTTAGCACTATCTCCAAGCCATTAACAAGGAGAAAATATTTGAAAGAGATAGGAAGCCTAGTGCTTCAAGGGCTGAAATAAATTCCACAGTGGGCCTTCAGGATAAAGTCTCAGTGTGCAAACTACCCCTGCAACTGTCTGCTCTGGACTTCTTGTCTACCCCTGCCTGAGAAGACCCTGCTGCTCTTAGTCGTAGACGGGCACGGTGAGGAGTTGCTGCCCGCAGTGACTCTTGCCTTGAGGATATATGTACTGAAACTGGGGTGTCCCAGCCTCGCTCTTTCTCATCTTCGCTAACATTCATAAAATGTTAATTGACTTGCCCTTGGTTTTAATGTTTTGAACCATTGAGCATAGCAAGTCTTGATTCCAAAGAGAAATCAAAACAGGTTTTGTAAGAGAACTTGGATGGCGACCAACTCTTTCTTCTAGAGCTCACTGTTTATGTTGGGGAGAGGTGAGGGGGGTTTCAGCCACATCCTGCTACCAAGTTTTGTACAGAAACAAGTAGTTGAAAGAGGCCTGGTAGGTACGGAAGGAAGTGCAGCACTGCTTTGCTCTCACATCACAGCAATACTCCAGCTCATGCTTTCGGGGGATATTTTTAGAGTATGTGTTTCTCATACCCTAGAAAGATTCCAGTGTGGCATTTGATGTGTGATGATTTACCTTTTCGATCTGCATTTCTGTCATGATTTTTAGGGGAAGGGAAGAAAACCCCAAACAACCACCATATACACAACCCCCCAACCCACAAAAAAAACCACCTCAAACCCCTAAATTTCAAGACAGTCTATAACGAAAAGCAGACAGCTAACTACCTTTCTCATGGACAACTTTTGTGGCCTTAATACTTAAAATAAAAATGTTTTTTGTTTAAAAAAATCCTTTTAGGAAGGGGAAATTAAAAAAAAATCAGGGGAAACATTCACCTGTTATATTAATTGTTTGTTGATATGCTGGGATCTGTGTAGCATTTCTGAAAATGTTTTGCGGATCTGCTTCCTTTGCTAGCAGAGATCTGGGTCAGTTGGGAATGGCAATAGAAAGGATGGCGTTTGTGGTGAACGTTAATCCATGTACAATTCGGCCTCTCCTTCACTGTTAAATATCAAGGAGTTATATTGAAAAACCACCTCCAGCACGTGAACTGTCTGGCACGGTACCAAAGCTTGTAGAGCTTCAGTAAGAAGATAGAATATTTGCATGAGTATTGTTTCTGTCATGCTGCAGGCATCTAAAATACTTGCTTTGGTGTCAGGTGGTTGGTTGCAAGCAAACGTCATTACTTCTAATACTGATACATTTCATCACTTAAAATAAAACTTGATGAGTAACCGATTTTTCTTTTTTGCTTCATACAGTCCAGATCTTCTTCAAGTAAAATCAAATCACGATGCTTGCAAATAGCAAGTTGCTTGCTTTGCACACACGTTCTTCTGAAAGCAAGAGGAAACTGTCTTTGTTCAGTCTGTGAGGATTTGACACAATCTCATCTAGGAGCGGTTAACTGTACTGCCTGTGCCCTCTGCGGAGGGAGGGATAGCTGGGGAACAGGGAAGGGAGCTGGTCCCTCTGCAACATCTTTGTGTATCTACCCTCCTCTTTCAATAGAGGGATTCTGGTAGCGTCGGGAAAAAGAAGGCAGAATCCTGTATTGCAGGTCCTCGTGTTTTCTTAGCAGTGGTTGACGGGCACAACTGACCAGATACACACACCGCTGTCTCGTCTGTCTCTCCCAACAGCAGCTTTGTCAGAAGCTTTGCTGCTACTTTGCAGCTGCTGGCAGATAGAGAAGGTCCAACCGAAAGCCTTTACCCACTGAATTTTGGGACTGTGAGCCCTTGATTCACTTCAGCTCAGTTTTTGTGAGGGGAAACTTCTGGTTTCTTATGTATGTAACGCACATTTACTTCTAGTAAGCTTGTTTAGTGGAGCTGCCTTCGTCAGAGGAATGAATTGCCAGGGAAATACATCAGGGATTCCCCTGTTGACATGTGGGTGTTCACTAAAGTGGCTCAAAAACTTGCTTCTACTTTCCATGTTCTGCCCCTACCAAGCATAGGAATCAAGCAGTTGCTTTTGAGACTTGAGATGCTTCCTAGGCATTAAAAAAGTGTTTTCCCTGGACTGTGAGAATTTTTACCTTAGGCCATTGACTTCTCCAGAAACGTCATCTCCTATAGACCCTGTTGCTAAAAAGTTTATTCTATAGAAATCAAATCATCCCTTCCTGTCCTGTTCCAGCTAATAGTCTTAAACTACGTGTTTCTAAGGAACTAACCTCCAACGGTCATGTTCTTGGTGGTGATAATACAGAAGCCAGATAACCTATTAAGAAAATAAATTTAGGTGGCTCTTTTTTGCATTTACATTGCCGAAGGAAAGAAACATGAAGGTGCTTCTTCCTATCAGATTTGGATGCTTTCTTTTTAACCTTTATAATATTCATAAAAGTCGGACTAGCAATGGGTGAATATGTAGATCTGGTACCATAACTCTGCCCTCAGCCTAGTTTTGGATTATCCAGCTTGCTGATGCATAAGTTTTGGTAACTTTTACAAACATGCTGGTAGGGGCATTATACTGGTGGTTCTTCCTGTGGTGTTTTCCCACGGTGAAGACGATGCAGTTCAGGACCCAGCTTTAAGCTGGGAGATGTAAAAGCCAGATATCATGTAATAAATTGTCTTGAAGTAACTGTTCAATCAAACAAATAGGTTGCAAATCAACACGTTTGTCAAGTGCTTTCCTGTTACAGATGACAATCAACTGTTTTGTCATTAATGTAAGACTTGCCATTCTTCTTTGTGTCTGGCACTTGCCCCACAGCTAACTGGTCCTCAAACTTAGTCTTCATGTAAGTGTGGTTTGTATTGTAACTTTGAAAATGAGTTTGGGCAACTGTTGTTTGCTTGAGCCAGCAGCGACTGTGATACCATAGGGTTGGCGAGGAGTAAGTACATTTCTCCTTTTCTCTGATTCAAGGTGGGGAGGGGCTGTGGTTCTACAAAGCAGCACTAATTCTTCTCATTTTCATCAATGCCTGTAAACACACTTCACAGTGCTTCAGCTGACTGAGTGCCAGCAATAAGGAAGGGCGAATAAAACTGAGTGAATGGAGTTCACCACTAGCTGTATTTAGTACCTGCAAAGGTGTTACGCTCATTTGCAGATATTTTTCAAACCAAAGCATTGACGTGTTTAACCAAAATTGTGCTAGACCATTGGAAGTGTGTTCACTGGTGCTTGGAGCTGTGCTGTTTGCCAGATTTTCTAGAGAGAAAGAGAGAAGACGGGTGTGAGAGAAGATTGGGATGTTGTCAATCCAGCCCTAAGCGAGTTTCATTTAACTGAATCCGTCAATCTCAGATAAGTGCTCCTTCATTGTGCAATAGCAATGCCTCTTGCACACACAGCCCAATGTGTCATTAGTCCTCCGAGTTCATTTATGTGAAGGTGCTCGTGCACCCCAGGCAGACCCAAGCGCCATGATTTGTTAGAACTCAGCCAGTGAATATGTTTTGGAACAGCAGTCTGAGTGGAAATACATTTGTAAGGTGTCCTCCCTCTTCTTCACTCATCTCACAAACTTGATCAGTTTCTTGAGAAACAAAATCCTGAGGTGACATCCTGTCCTAAAGCTTGGAATTGCATGATGCCTTGAGATTTTCCAAATAAGTCACTCAAGTCTTCTCCAGCTGTGTTCTCCATGTTATATCCAGTGATGAAAGAACTGCCTTGGAGAGGGAGTCCTGGGCTTTGATGTTCCTCTTTTTGGATATTTCAGCTTAGACAGTATTGCCTTTGCAAGTTCCACAGCCATTGCCACTCTGTTGTATCACTGTGGTCCTACTCCAGGCCTGAGCGTTTACAGTACCAGCAGCTGCACTGTTGGGCAGGAAGAAAAGCTTCCTTTTATGTGGGTATTCCTGGTTTTTGTGTGGCTGCTGGTGCTGGGCTGAGGTTTTTTTCTTTTACCCTTGTGGTATAATATTCACCCTGAGAGGGGAAACATCTTGAATACAGGGCATTGTGTTTCATGGTGTTGAGTGCTTTCAGGTTTGTCTTTGCCAATAAGGTGGGTAGTGACTGCCCCTCAAGAAGCTCTCTCCTCTGTGTGTCGCACACATTGCTGTTGCTCGTGAGCTTGAATTGCAAGAGCACTCAAAGGCCACAGTGAACTCCAGCTTTATTGCACTAAGAGGCGCTGTGATAAATTCCAGGCAGCCCCAAAGGCTTTGCAGCCTGAAAGGCAGAGGCAGGGCGAGCAACTTGGGGCTGGGATGTAAAGATGTGACGCTGCAGATTTGCTGAAATGATGACAGCTGCCCAGTTATTTCCTTCAGACTTGCCCTGCTTACAGGGAAGAGGCATGAGTAAAGGATAATGAGAGTACAAACCTTAAGGTTTGTAAACTGAGTCTGTATCTTCTCCACGTTTTCTCCTACGCTGCCTTAAAAAAAGCTAGGCTGGCACCCTGAATAAGGGCAGCCAGAAGGGGTACTGCACCCTGAGAGGAGGAGACTGGAAGGAGCTCAAGAAGCCAAGGCTTGAATTGAGAATTTTTTTTTATAGCAGCGTCAGAGGGCAAAGACTTCGTGTTTCAAAGAAGAAAGTCGTCACGTTTAGGTGTGTCCTAGTCCATGGATTGAAGGAGGAGGTGAAGTCAAAGTTAAGCTGAAGTTTGGGTAGCGGGTAGTGGATGCCTCTTTGTGAGAGACGGTACACTTTGAGAAGGGCTCCTGTCGTCATCCCAAGTTTTGTCTGACATCTGAGCATATGCAAGTACACGCGAGGCCAAGTTACTAGTTTAAAGAGAAAGAAAACACAAACTGAAATACAGATTTGGTAGTTATCAGAATAAAGTTATCGCACTGTAGTACCTAAGATACCAGTTTCTTCTTCAGATAGAGCGGAGAATAACTATGCCAGTGAGTATTGAGTTTCATTGGCAGACACTTTTACCTTGTAAGACCTGTATTCAGCTCTAAATTCTAGAAATGGCGTTACACGAGCTTTCGGATACATTTCTCTCTTTCCAAGTAATGATTTTACTAAATAGAGCACTTTCTTTACTCCCTTTCTGCTTCTGTTTTCAGGGCGAGGCATTTCAGAGAAAGCATCAAATTTATCCACGAGTGCCGGCTCACAGGTGAAGGCTGCCTAGTTCATTGGTATGTATACCACTTACTAAAAAAACTTCTTGAGGGTTGATCTGCCTTGATTTGGATGTTCATTTTGATGATGAGTTAGTGTTCAGCCCCATTTTATAGCAAAATCCACTTGGACTGGAATGCCCCCTTTATTTGAAGAGCCCCAGGAGATTTGCAAATGTTATTAAAGCCTTCTGCTAGGACTTTTGAATCACTGGGGTGGGCAGCTGCCTGGAGATAAAAGGAGCCCAAGAAATTCTTCTTGACCTTGTCTTCTTACTAAACTTTTTGTAGGATTGATTTGACTAGAGACGTATTATTTAGTTACCATTATTTTAATCACTGTATTTCTAAAGATTATTTCCATAATCCTAATAATTTGATTAGTTTCTATAACAGCTATTTTGATCACTTCAGAATTGTTTAAAAAAATGTTCCTCTGAACAGAAATTCTTTTTTTTTCCCCTTTTTTCTTTAAACTGCTGAAGCATTCAAATGTCGCATTTGTTAATAGCAAGTCTCTGATTGGAGAGGTGCTCCTGGGACTGTAGAGAACAGAAAAGGAAATCCCATCCTGAGTTTTTTCTTGCTCTCTGCTATTGGTTGTAGTCTTTGTTCTGTATGTCCAAGTGACATATCTGAGTCTATATCTGGAATCAGAGTCATCTTGTGATTTGAACACTGGACTTGTACACAGGCCCTGAGCATAAATCCTCAGTTTGCTGCTGACTCGTCATAGGGCTGTGCACGAGTCATTTGGTCAGTCTTCGTTTATGTAAAACAGGGATCATTTATTTGAATTCTGATACAGTTTCAAAAAACATGTATTTAAATTTGTGAAGCATTTCAAAAGCATAAAATGTTTTTGAAACGCCAAGTGGAAGAGTCTGATACAGATTAACTCAAACACTCTTTATGCTTACAACAGTAATTGAGAGTTTTTTGTTCAGCACTGTCAAACCAGTAATAGTGAATAATTCTTACTTTATCACAGAGTTTCACATGGGAAAACTGAAGTCTTGAGAGTTGAAGCTGCACAGTGCATGGGTATCAGAAAGACGGAAAAGAGCTCAAGCAACCAGACGTGCATTCTTTAATAGTTCAGTTAAAGTTCATTTCAGCCCCATGAAATTGAAGCCTTTATTCATGGTGGAGAAGGAACAGTCTCATTTCACTATTCTGATCTATATAAGCAGAAGAGTGTTGGGTGACTTTTTTCTAGCTTATTAAACCCCAAATCTAACTTAGAACGTGTGCCCTGTCTCCTGGTTTTGTGAAGACTTAATACTTATTTCTTCCTTTCCAGTCTTAAGTGAATTGCCACTTAGAACCCATTTTCTCAGTATTGTCATAGAGTTGTTCTGATGCATTTGAAAAAGCAGCACCAAAACCTTTTAACTCAAATATTTTAATATTTCTTCCTGCTAGCAGTCTGCTGTGATGTTGGGCAGTGATGCTTTCAGCTGTGATAGATGAAGTACAGCACTACTTCCATTTATTGTACCTCCTTTTTCATGCAGCCTTGCAGGTGTCTCCAGGAGTGTAACATTGGTGGTTGCCTACATCATGACCATCACGGACTTTGGTTGGGAAGACGCACTGTCTGTTGTCCGCGCAGCGAGATCCTGTGCCAATCCTAACATGGGCTTCCAGAGGCAGCTCCAGGAGTTTGAAAAACATGATGTTGATCAGGTAAATGAACTACAGACAAATGAGCTGCAAAACACAATCCAAAGTCTCAGATCATGGGCTACTTCTCACGATTTTGAAGCCTGGATGGTTTATCTGACTCCCTGGGTTTGCTTTGAGGTAATGGCTTCTTGGCCAAGCCTGCTCCACTGGGGAGGTGCAAATAGAACTCAAGGTGTCAGGAAATGCTGGATTGGAGAAGAGACAAAGCACAACATCTAAACACACTTCCTGCCCAGCTGTGCTCTCAATCCAGTGATTCATAGAATCATAGAATGGTTAGGGTTGGAAGGGACCTCAAAGATCATCCAGTTCCAACCCCCCTGCCATGGGCAGGGAAACTCTCAACTATATCAGGTTACCCAAAGCCTCATCCAACCTGGCCTTGAACACTGTCAGGGATGGGGCATCTACAGCTTCACTGGGCAACCTGTTCCAGTGCCTCACCACCCTCAGATTGAAGAATTTCTTCCTTATATCCAATCTAAATCTCCCCTCTTTCAGTTTAAATCCATTGCCCCTTGTCCTATCACTACATGCCCTTGTAAAAAGGGCTTTGCTTAATGTGTACTACAACACAAGACTGACACCTTTAGAGTAAACTAAATTGCAAGTTGCTCAGAATGCAGCAGAAAGACCAACCTGTAAGTACCAGCTGCATAAAAATAGTGGGTTTCCCCCCAGCACATTCATTTGGAATAGTAAGCAGGAAGGAAATTGCAATCAGAAATCTTTGCTATCTGGGAGTTAAACTAGGATGTCACTGTGACTTACGTGTTGTGTTCCCCCCCTCCTTCTGTGGCTGAGACTTAATAAATTTTCTGATGTGTAGAACAGTCTCAAATCTGACCCTTTTTTCTTCTTAGGCTCTGAAGGCTTTGTAGGACTAAGAGAATTGAGGGAACAGTAAGGCTGCAAAGTGGTTTTCATAAAACAAAAATTAGCTTCTTACCTCTAAAAAGAACCGTCCCACACAAAAGACCTGCTCCCCGTGGGCGATTGATGACTTCCACTTATGTTAACAACCTACTCTGGTTGTCCTCTCTGTTTTCCATTGCTCAGCATGTTGCTGTTCTCTGGGCTTTTGTGCCTATTCTGCTTATTAAAAATCAACAACAACAACAAAGGCAAACCAAAATCGGAAAGCAAAATACACGAGGCAAAGGATGTTGTGTTTTTTGTTTGTTGGTTTTTGTGTTTGTTTTTTTTTTTTTTATTCCATGCCTGTCATTCTGCTGCGGAAAGCTCAAGAGTTTAGAAATTACCATTTGTTTTGCATGATGCAGTTTGCAACTGTAAATATTTGCTTTTTTTAATATTTAACTGAAGGTTTCCTGGATCGTTTGGAACTGGCGTAAATGGTAGAGTAACTGATTTTTAAGAGACAAAAGTCTGAGGGGGACTTTCCAGACTTGTCTCCTTCCTCCCTTACAGTCATTTCTACTCTAATTGGTCTGGGCTAACAGCAATGACAATTAAGGCTATATGCAAATAGCCTGATAAAGACAGTAACGTCTCTTTTTTTCATCCACCATGGACGGCACATTCTGCCTTTTTGCACTGAGGGGGAGGCAGTAGGTTGCAAAAAGAGATATCCACCTGTAGTCACTGGCTGGGCTGTAGTTTCCTACTGTCTCTTTACAGCAACCACATCCTCAGCAGGTGTCTGTTTACACACCTGATTTCGGTGGAATAATGCCATCTGCCAAGGGTGTGAACAACTTCTGATTTCAGCAGCATGGGTGTTTTGCTGTGCCACTGTAGGGTGGTATCCTGTGGGGTTTCTGGAATGGGGTCCTTTAGATCTTGGTCTTACAGGAAGGGGTTTAGTCACTAAAGTCATAACATGATTTGCACCAATTCCAGACTTCCATGTGGTAGCCTGGGGCTTCAGATTTGACTCAGGACCTTATGATCTTTTAGGAATGGGAGGGATTAACCATGTTGAGGTCTTGCCTCCTAATGTCCTAGCAAATGGTCTTATGTATAAAGCTGTCCCTGAGACCCAAACAGAACAAAGTTATGAAAGATGAGGCTTGAAAAATGATCACAGGAATATTATCCCCACTGGGACGGAACAGTTGAGGTCTGTGTCTACTTGCTGCTTCTGCAGAGAAGAGCAACAAGATTGTCGGGATTAACGAAGTGGACTCAAATTCTTCAACTGGCAAAGAACTGACAGAGAAGGATGTGATGAAGATCTGTAAAGTTGAGTGGAATAGAGAAAGTGAACATTGTGATTTCTGCTCTTCCCTGTAACATAAGATGGAACTATCAATTGGCAGGTTCCAATGAAGGAAAAGGAGGGGGTTTTGTACAAAATGTACTTACAGAGCTTGTTAGCCTCCAAATATCTTGTGGTAGAAATTTGTGGATTCAAAAAGTGATCTCATGGCAGAAAAATTCATTTGTTACTATCAAACACAAAGACACTGCCTCAGCCTCTGAAAGTACCTGAGCTGAAAATTGCTGGAAGCTGAGAAAAATGACCAGGGAAAAGGTCTCAGCATTATTGCCCCACCGTTGCTTGTGTCTTTCCTCAGCATTTACATCTGGCTACTCTCATACCAGGATACTGAGCTGGACTGACCTTCAACTGGACCTGCTACATCTGTTACCGTGTACCATATTCAGTCACTCATGTCAGTAACATGTAGGATCCTATTCTATAGCTTCTAAAACTCTGGACTTTTTTTTCCTAGAAGATACCTTTCTTGGTATCTACAGTACATTTTTTTACTACAAGCATTTGTGGACTCAGGATAAAAAAACCCATGAGTGATTCACTGTCTGGTCGTCAACCTTCTTGAGGCCTGTTGTGACTTGGGCAAGTTGGCTGATTGTATTAGCGTCAACACTAATTGATCTTATTGCTTGTATGTGCAACAGGAGGAGGGTGCTTTTAAGTCCAGGATGTCCTTGCCCAGTGGGTGTTCCTTACTCCATATTACTCCAGTCAGTCAAGCTGATGTGCAAGTGTGTCGTTTTAGAGGATATAAGGGATCTCGGTGATTTCAAACGTGTGTTCTTGTGCCTGTGTCCTCTGTGCTGCTATTGAAGGATGCGCGATATTTGTAGTGCTTTTCTTTAAACTGCTTGTGTTCTTAGAGGCTCTTGAAATTCTGTAGGACAGGAGGGAGTATTACTTATGCATTAGTCTCATGTTATTGTTTCAATATTGTATCTGTATGTTCAATTTCTGCAGTTCAGGCAGTGGCTGAAAGAAGAATATGGGGAAAACTCTTCTCAGGATCTTCAAGAAGCCAAAAGTCTTCTGAGCAAATATAAAGAGCAGGCAGAATTGCAGCAGAGTACTGGAGGAAGACAGTGGAATAACAACTTCTCATCTGTGCCATCTCTCTCATACAGCAACTACACAACAGAGACCTAATCGTAGGAGGTTGATTTTTTTTTTTGTTCGTTCTACCTTTGAAAAACATCTTGCCATAATTTCCATCCCATCATCAAGACTCTCAGCAGTAATCACGCAAACAATTGATTTGTAGAAAGCTTCTTGATGAAAATACTACGTTATGTGTGTGTGTGTATGAGTGTGTTTGACACAGTTTTATAACTTGGGCAGGATCAAGCTCTCTGTATGCCCAGAGACATGATCCAGTTACTGTGGCTGATCCAGTTTGTCAGCCAGCCACAGCTATTATCCCCTTATGCCCACATTGCCTGGCATTTGCTGTGAGGTTAGCTCAACTCCTTTCGTTGTAGGCTAGCAAAGGGCTCCGAGAGATGAGGTCTGGTGATTCAAGCTGTGGCAGTTTGACATCTCTGCACTATTAATGTGGCAAAGATGTTATTGCACCTGAAGAAGGAATCTTAAGTCTCTGCTGCTCCTGTTCACAGCCCGTTGGCAAGTGATATCGTGGAGGTGGGCTTGAACTTGAATGCTAGGCTACAGACCGGAGCAGGTGAGATATGGGTACTTGTACCTTTCCACCAACACTAGCATCTAGGAGAGAAGTGGGACAGACAGCTCTGAGTAATAACATCTTCAACTGCCACAGTTGTGCTTGCTTCAGTGCACGTGCAACAGAGCTGTCGGTAGAACTGCCGCAGACCAAAAGCACCGAGACTGTTACCACAGCTCAGCTGATGTGCAGTGATTTCAGCCGTGGTCCCTTGATTGTGTATCTGGTCTCCCAACATAAGCTTCTCTGGAGAACAGTTTGTCAGGTCTCCAGTGCCGCTGAACTTCATTCCCCGTGGAACACGTGCCTCTTCAACACACGCCTCTGCGCACACGATAACGTGTCTCCAAAGAGTGGGCTCGGTGTGAGTGCGAGCACCTGTTTCTTTGCTTGTGCTGTGGTTTGCTCTTTGACTTCAGCTACCTCAAAAATGCTCTTCTTGTCATTGTGGTTGTAAATGCAACCTTGAAAATTGCCTTGTGTAATCTTAATCTGACACTGAGTGAAGTAAGTGAGGGGGGGGTGTGCGTGAGAGTGTGCATGTGTATTTCATAAGTGTCTGTACTTGAGAAGTCGATTGTTTTCTTTTAGAATTGCCTATATTTCTCACTGGTTTAAAAACTGACTTGTCCGAATTCAACTTTTTGCCATTTTAAAACCACTATATATTTTGCTGTGATCAGATTCGTAGGAATTAATTTGTAAAATATATTTTCAACTAGGTTAAAACTAGGGGCCATGCTCTGCTCTTGGTGATGCTGCGTGTTTCTGGGATGGAGCCATTGCCTGACTCAAGTGTATCCTAAGAGTGTAACTTCAAGTATGTCACCAGGGATGCTGGGCAGTGTATGGATTTCTGATGGTGTAACGGGGGGCGGCACTGATTGTGGTTTCTTGTCTTTGACTTGGAGGATGAAAGGCCTATTTTTCTTGAAGATTCTAGAAATTTAAAAAATACATCCCGAACAGCCAGGATGTTTAAAGAGAAACAAAACCAAACCCAATGTTTGGTTAGATGTGGTGTATATCATGCTGAAAGCTGAGCACTGAGTGAGAAGCAGTCAGCATACTGAATAGACTGTTGTCTCTTTCAATTTCTTCAGTATGCCGACCTCCCATCCCTTCCTAAAATCCCTCTTTGTGTGATTTCCTGCTTGCTTTGCGTGGCAGTGAATTCTTTGGATGGGAGCAAGGCTTTTGGTGTCAAATATGCTCTGACTGTTAAATATCTGTTAAGTATCGTCAAAAAAATGTATGTTATGGCTTGTGAAATATGGCTTTTGAATATTATATGAAACAATAATTGCCAAAAAGGAAAAAAGGGAATGAGGTGGAACTGGCCTGACCGTTTCATCTGAGTCCAAGCCTGCATCAGGGTTCTCATTGCACTAAGTGCTTTCAGTGCACTGAACACGACGAGAGCGGGATAATCGTGTCTGTGTTGCAGTAAGGGATGCTGTCGGATTTGGGAAAGGTGCTGGAATTGACTTTATTTTCAAGCTTGTAGCTAAATGAACCACTACCTGTTTGGGATATCCTGCAACTGCTCTGTGTTTGCCTGGTAACAGAAGTATTTGGCTTTTCTCAGAGATGTTCATCTGCAAATAACTGGCTGTTCAGGAATTCCAGCGCAGCAGTGTCCGCCTTGGCAGTCCCCTCTGTGCTCCAAGAGCGGACGTGGTAATTGGAAAACACTTTCCTTGGTAACAGGGTCTGATACATGTTGAGGATGCTGGTCCCTTTGTTCAGCCCTCTACTCAGATAGGGTATATAGTGCAACTTTTTGTCAGAAGCACTCTGCCTGTGCTCCTGCGGGTGTCCAGTCAGTCCATCCCATAGCTGACTGCCAACATTATGTACTCCATAACGTTATCGGCACTCTCGTCCTTGCAGTAATAACCCTGTGAGTGCTGGTAAGTTGGCAATTACTTTTTTTTCCCCTATTCTGACAAATACAAGGCAGAATGGGAGACATCTGTTAATGTTTGTGTGTCCAAGATTATTCTGTGCTGGATCTTTTGATAGGTTGGTTATCCCCAAAGAGTCAGTCACAATTATTATTATTTTTTTTTTTTTAGAACTGAATTTGACTTTAGGGCCATATAGCCCCATCAATGTGCATTATGCTGCAACTGGAAAGCAGATACAGGGTAAAGCAGGAAGACAGGAGGAGTGCCATATTGTCAGCAAGTGGAAGTGCTGCCTTCTTTTTAAAAAATAGAAGACATACGTTCTGTAGTCTCTTGCTTCTGCATCTTGTTTACTGGGCTGTATGTACTGCATACCGTATTTTAAGTGTGGTAAAAGAGCAACAGCAGTCTAAGAAAACTTGGATTTGGTTTGTCCCTGTAGGGAGCAGAATGATAGCATTTACTCCTTTATTACCACAAGGTGCAGAAGAGAGTAGCTCCAGTTCTCACCTGTGGCCTTCTAGAAAGGGAGAGGAGCTAACACAGACTGAGAAAGTGACATGGCTTGTCTTCCAACCAGCTTTTCAGTGGCAGTGTGTAGGACTTTCCAGCTATCTGGAACAGGACTAGACCCCAGTCCATCTCTTAGTAGTTGGCCTTGATAGTGTAGACAGTGCATTCAGTTATTTTGTTTCTGTACTTCAAAGCATTATCCTCATTTTGATGTTCACTGGAAAATGTATAAAGTTTATAACACCTTATTGGATATCCAGATTTGAAATGTATAATCGATTTTTTTTTTGGGGGGGGGGGGGGGGAGTAATAAACTTGATATCCATGTGTGATTATAAGCAAATGTTTAGTGTTATACAATGTAGGTAATGGGTAAATGCATTAGTATTTATTACCCTGATTTTTAACCTGGAAAGGGTTGCTTCCTTACATTTTGTGATTGAGCAGGAAGATACAGCAAATCATATCTCTGTTTTTATAAAGGAGAGTAATAACATTGGTTGCTATAATGACCACTGGCTATAAAGCAGTCAGTGAAAAATTATAGTAATTACTTCAGCTAGTTTAAAAACTCTAAACCTGGTAAGCTTCTTGATTCTCTGTCTTCCTCTTCCTGGGCATCTTAGTGAAGCCTTGATTGCTTTTTCCAAATGTTTGTATTTAATACGTTCTACAATTTTTTATAAATAAAAGTAAATGTTAACACCTGATCTGCTTGTGTATTTCTTGAAATCAGTAATAGTGTCTGGAAGGCTTCTACTCACTGTTTATATCCCTGCAGGTACAGTAAGAGTACAAGACTAACTTATTTTGGTATTTAGATTGCTTTTTTTCTCCTGCACACAGACTTCTTGAAACTTCCCCTCTTCACCAAGTTCTCCAGGTGAGTTAAATCTGCAGCAGAAGCATTTCTTGACAGTAGTCCCACAAGAGGATGCTGCATGTCGCTCTCATTTATTGTTGCTGGCCCATCATTGCAACAGGGTGTACGGCGAATGCAAATTTTTTAATTCTTCTGAAATACCTTCTTTTCCATAGGACACTGGTTTAGGGCTTAATTAGCTGTAAAACTTTAGCTGGTTTACAGATGGCCAAGGCTCAGTGCTGTCAGTAATGGTTTGTCAGAGGAAGCTGATGTACGTGGCAGATGATGATTCTTAGGGACAAAAATTTTCAAAACTTACAGTGTAAAGGGGGGAAAAGCCCCATTTAAATTCCCAGATAACACACTGAATTTCTGGTTTGACACTACCTCTGCTAAGAGGGTAATTCTAGCATTTGAACAACCAAAAAAACCAACCAACCAAACCCAAAAAACCCACCAATGTGAAAGTATAATCAGTCATGCCTAAGTAGCCAGATCTCACGGCCACTGTAGTCGTTGCTGAATGCTGAGCTGTGATCTCGCAATGGGACTCCCTCATCATGAAGGCAAAGTTAAATGCTCGGGCACAGTGGGTTTTGGGTCTCTTCTTTTTGCCTTTTCCTCCTCTCCCAGCAGTTGTTCGTTTATAGACTGCTGGGAAGTTTCCAAATGAAAAATGCACTGCTGCTTTGTCTTACTTTTGACAACTCAGTAACTCTCAAGGGCACCTTTTATCCAAATCATATGTAAAAATTGTGGTGCAACCGTGGTGCCATACTACTGTTCCAACTTTATACCTCATCTCATTCAATGTTGTATGTAACTGTCGTGAGTTCTAGAAAATGGCAGTTCTGATTTGATTCATGTAGTCCTGTCCCACCATGCTGAGGTGGGAACAACTGAGGGAACTAGAGGGCAAACCCTCGTGTCCTTAGATGTGCTCATAACCTGATAAGGAGTTTGGGCTTTGCCAGCGGATTGAGAGTCCTTCCACCTCCTCACAAAGATTGTACTGGTAGAGGGAAAATGCTAAAGATCTCTAGAAAATATTAGACAGCATGAGGAAGGTGATCTTGCACTGTACAGTGTTTCTGTAGAAACCCCTGGAGACACAAAGCATGCGACAAACAGCTATTTTCACACTTCATTCTCAGTGAGCTTTAAATGTGGCTCTCATTTTCCATGTGCCCCAGCTTCTGTGTGTTTAATTATTTCATTGCTACATTTAGCTGCTGTCCAGTATTATTCTGCTCTCACCCAGGGAACAAATTCTTTATGTATGTTTGAATGTGTGTTTTGCTCTAGTGAATTATGCAAACTGCAGTTTACCAAAAGTGAGTAGCTTGTGAGTAGCAATATGACTTCCTGTAGTTTCCATGTAGTTTCTAGCGTAATTATTAGGAGTAGGCATCTAATGAAGCGTAAGCGTAGCTCAGTCCTTGTAGGAGACTCAGTTCTGCTTGTGTGAGCTGAACCCATCTGCACTGTACTGAAAGTAAAATTCATTTGCAAGCAGTCTCAAAAAATGGGATTTTCAGCCAGACCTGCACCGAGTTTCCATTTTAGTTGAGATAATTATGAATGTGCAGGTTTGGACCCTTCGTTATTCACTGAACTATGAGCAGAGAGGTCAGAGCCAAGACATCCAAGCTACTTGAAGTGCAAAGTGTTTTTCAGTTGTTTGCTTGCTTGGTCATCTGTTCACACAGGCACTGGCACAGCTTTAGATCCGGGTAGATGCATTTATAAATGGACCCTTTGAAAGTCTGAGTTGTGACTCCCCTTCTTCCTTTCTTTTTCTGAAAGCAAGTGAGTTTTTATTTAATGTCGGATACAGGGGATGGGATTTTTGTTAGAA